CTAATAAAAGAAGACTATAATGTTCATCTCATTTAGTATATTACAACACAGTTTCAATCTGAAAAGTTTGATAATATAGTTGACATGTACTCCCTAATAAAAAAAAGCTCCTTTATTCTCCTAATTTAAAAGAGACAGTAAAGCAGAATTTACAGTACTGGGAAATCAATGATCATCTAAAACCAAAACACAAATATTTTAATTGAAAATGTATAAATCAAGAATAATCTAATTACTGAACTAAGCATTATGAAATAATTGATTTTCAACACATTTTATAAAATCTTCAAATGTACAAGTTCCCATAATTCAAATATTTTTTGTTGCTAGAGTCAACTGATGAAAAGTTTTTCAAAATATATTTGAGCTTCACTCAGTCACTTCTTTATCTCTGACTGAAATATATAAATTCAGGAGCAAACACTAAGCAAATCCATAGTAATAAATAGTGTTAATTTGTGGTGCATTAATCTTGGCAAAATTAAAACAAGCTTGAATAAATCGTGGTGTTTATTATAGTATAGTGACTAGATAAATATATTGTATCTTATATACATTAATAAAATGGTTACAATATGCTTCTTACTTGCTAATCTAGTATACATTATGTTTAGTTTTCATTTCTTCAGAAAAACTAGAATTATATATTGTATGATTAAACTTCACAAGCCAGATTATTATGTAAGAGAAATCTAATAGAAAATACCATAGGTGTGAAAAAAAGGTGCAGCCAAGAACAAAAGAAGATTCAGCATGTGACATAAAAGAACAAAATCAAAACTGGTGGCCAAACTGGTAGCTACACTTAAAGCACTTATCCAATTCTTATCAATGCTATAAGTGTAGTTACCAGTTTGGCCGCCAATTTTTATTTCATTCCTTTAAGTTGCACACTCAATCCTTTTTTATCCACACCTAAATTTCACAACTGAGGTGCTTCTGATTAGATATCATGACATTTTGTGAATACACACTAAGTAAGTAAGTAATACTTGATAATAACCAACATTAGCCTTAGAATCACAACCCTATTATTCAGAACAGATCTTTACTTTACAGAACCAATCAGATTATTTAAAATATATGGTGGTAGTTTTCCTCTCTAAAACAGTGTTAATAGCCTCCTTTATAGTAACACCATGGAATTTAGATTAACTGTTTCTTGTCATCACCCCCATGCAATCAGTATAGCCACATCAAGCAACATTATTTATGCTAATTGCTTTAGCTGGTATCACGTGATGCTGAATGCTCTTTAATTAAGATAATTTCATAAAATTTAGTAAATTTGTGCTGAAAAGTTGGCAACGAATAATCAATAATAACCATCCACCCGTATGATTCTTTTGAAAACCTGAGCTAGAAACTGCTAATCTAGTTTACTTGGCCTAACCAATACTTATGTATCTGCACGTCCTTTAACCTTAAATTTTACTGCTTTAAATCAGCTGTCTTTAATCCGAATGATAAAAAACTAAAAACAGTCCAGTTTACTCTTAGTTGAAGATGTAGTAAAAATGTTAGACCAAAAGTTTACGTGACTTTTTCTGCAAATCTGAACAGTTTTTGTTGAATAACTTTGTACACGTGGCTTATATTTATACCAAATGAGACTCCTAATTGTAGGTTGAAAAGGATTATCACTGTACCAAATGTAAAAAAAAAATCCATAAAAGTTAAGTATGTGTTTCTATCAAATAAAGTTTCCATACTTTTGGTGCAAATAAAAAAAGGAAGAAAACTGAAATTGGAGGTGTTATATCCGGTATTTCTTAATGGATTGGCTTGAAATTTGGTATGTGAAGTAAGAGACAAGTAGAACACATCCACTGAAAATATATGATAGTTTGGATGATAACAGTCCAAGATACAGAAGGTGGAAATTCGCTAAACTATCACTCCTGTTAATAATAAACAGTGTATCCTGCAGCTGATTGTTTTGAATGCATGACACATTGCTATGTGTCTTGATAATGTCAGATATTTGATGTTATTATCACAGCTTGTTAGGTTTCTCAGCAAAATGTATTCCAGATTTTATAAATAATGAACTTATAGCTACAAAAAATGTATTTTATAACACCTCGTAGAACTTGAAATTTCAAGATAATATATATGTATATATATGTGTGTGTATTTACAAATAGTTTTTATGTGGAATCTTTTTGCACTAACATTCTTCCTCAAGAAATTACTCTTTTGTGTAGAGAGTCATTGCATTCTTCTTCATATACAATTAAAAATTTGTTTAGGCATTTTTTGTTTCTATGTTCATGACATTTGTGGTTTAAGAATCACTTTACTGGTTTTTATTCATAATCAAGTTAATAGGTTTAGTATGGGAGCACAGCTTGTATATGCTATAGTTAATTTCTTTTTTAACTCTTGTGAACAAATTTGTTGAGAAAGTTATACTTTTCCTACGCTTAGTAAATGTTTTTCTGATAGGTACTTACCTCCTCTCACATAAACAGCTATTCTCATTCATTGCTGCCCTCTATATGCAAAAAAAATATTTTTGCATGCCACAAGCCTTGAGCTTCCACATACCCCATGATCAACATGGTTCAACTGAATTTTGCATGCAAATCATCATGTGTCAATCCTCCACCAATAGGAGTGTGACACACCCTCCTGACACATGTGACTTCCTCTATTTGATTCTACTGAACCAGCACTTCGATTGTTGGCAGAAAAAGGAAACACCAGTTTTCAGTGGGGAGGAAGGGTGAGAGGAGGTGATTATCTATCGAAAATACATTTTCAGTACAAGCTGCCCAGTGTCGGCTAACAATATGAAGAATTGAATTTTGGCAAAATGCTAGAAGTTCTTCAAAAACCTATAGAATAATAGGTTTCTTTTTTGTGAATGTAAAACACTTAAATACACCAGTTCGATTTTCAGTATAGGAAAATTATAACTTCCGATACGATAACTTACCTAAGCTCGCATATATAGCTACAATCTAATTTTGAATAGGTGTGAGGGAAAGAAAAAAGCTTCTGTCAAAAGTGTCTGAAGAACACACTAAGGATGGGGGAGGGATTCACACAGTAGAGGATCATATGTGGGAGGCCGCACCACTTCTGTACCAGGTATACTCTACGCCCAGTGTGGAAAGAGGTGATGCAGACATGGGTGGAAAAAGGGAGGAGCACATGGAAAAGGGAGAGAACAATGGTTGGATATATCAATCTCAATCCCATAGATGACAGTAATGTGGGTGAGAGTAAAAAGGATGTGCCTCAAGGAGTAGAGTGGCTAGAGCATGATTGACTATGCATGTTAACTGCATCCAAAACCCAGCCACCAGAAACCAACATCCACGAGGGGGTAGGATGAGGAACATACCCTTAGTAAGTCAACTACAATCAAAACCCAGCCACCAGAAACCAACATCCACGAGGGGGTAGGATGAGGAACATACCCTTAGTAAGTCAACTACAATCAAAACCCAGCCACCAGAAACCAACATCCACGAGGGGGTAGGATGAGGAACATACCCTTAGTAAGTCAACTACAATCAAAACCCAGCCAATGGGAACTGACATCCATGTGGGGGAAGGAAAGATGATCATACTGGCAGAAAATCAACTGAAATCCAAAACTCAGCCATCTGGTAGGAGTAGGAATGAGGATCATACCATCTTCACCTCAAGTTCAGCAGATTGGAGGGAAATATCATACCCACTGATCTGTGAACAGGACACATGATAGCAAAGTAATAAAATGTTTGATTGAATCCAGGTGATCAAAATAATAAAGATGTACCTGTATTGTAAAATATTCCACTCAAACCAATCAGACAGGAACTACCCCAGCACAGTAACGTCCTTGGTATATGAAAATCTTCGAGGGATAGTGCAAGAGGAAGAACTTTAATAACCTGCGTTATCATCCACTGTGACCTACAACACAGTAGCAGTAAATATAAGTCCAATTAAGTGAGGGAATAGAGATGCCTATAATACATGTGTGAGGATTTATGTTGACTGGTCCAGCTCTGAATCCAAAACCCAGCCAATGGGAACTGACATCCATGTGAATGTAGGATGAGGGATCCCAATCAAAGGGGTGTACTGCAAATTTCACGATTCACTCTAAAGTTACAACATCCATTGAATAGACCCATTCAGAAATGGAGCATCAGATTGGAGAAAATCTCGTCATCTACACCAGCAGAACATCACCACCAAACTACTTTCAACTGAATGGATTCATTATTGTATTTGTATGTATTGTATATCATTATCCCATTCTGGAGAATACCTCCATGGTCCACCACCTTAGCAGCTTGGAACTGGAAAGTGGTAATTAGGACTCCTGTAAAAAGGGGAAGAAAATGTGGTGGACAGTCCAGAGGAATGTCAATACTGGAGACCATGCAAAAGGAGACCAAGAAAACCCTATTTTGAAAAAGCAAATGAATCCTCATGTTTAAAATAAAAGGAATGGCAGGAATGGGCAGCTATTCCCTTCTGCTTTATCCATGAAGTCCATGGGTTAGTACGGTCTGGAATGAGCATATGAATGAAGCAAATATATTGTGAAGAAAATCTACAAGTGATCTTGTGGAACACCCAATCTCAACAGTGTGCATTTAGTGGCCATGGAAGTTATAATTGTTAAGTCATCCTGGCCTTATAGTGTGGATTTGAATATTTTAAGTATACCTGGACAGGCACCACTCTCCACAGAGCAGGATCCAGAAAGAAAAAAAAACATGCCCCTGAAAATAAGAGGTATATATACAAAAAGGTAACTTAAGCAGTCACAGTATCACCAAAGAGTGAAGGATGGCGATAGGTGGAAGATGGTACCCCGACGAGGACGAAACAGCTACCCGAAGCAGATAATGGGAGATAAATGTATGAGGTGTAGCTCCAGTGCTTGACTGAAAAATTACCTCCAATATATGATGGGGGTGAGATGCAGGTAAATGGGAGGTTGCCTGATTGGAGTGAAGACACCAGGAATTGATCATGGAAAAAAGGAGACATGGAAAAAAAGGCAAATCAAATCAACAACTGAATCAAAAGGGTAAGGGAGGAAGGAAAAAGTAAAAAACAGAGGAGTGGTGCCAGGGAATGAAACAACAGAAAAGGGAACCAAGAGAAAGAAGCCTTGAAGGCACTGAAGCTGCCCAGAGCATGTACTGGACATAGAGGCCATCCAGATCTGACCGGGAATAAAGGTGGGAGGTGGAAGGAAATGAATACAAAGAAAAGAAAGAATATGCTGCACATGCTGCCAAAATGGAGGATAGAAAAAATTCGACCCAGATCAAAAAGAACAGATCAAGCTGAAGCAGCTGAGAAAACCAGATCTCTGTTGGCAAAGATGGAGCAATCAGAAAGACCTGTCACAGAGTGGCAAGGATGAATGAAATACCCTGAGGAATGGGATGAGAAATAAAGGTATAAACAGGTCTCAATCCTGTCTGAACACATCTAAAATCAAAGCAAGTGGATAAGGAACCAAAGACAAAGACATACAGATCTGAAACAAGCTCAAAGGGCAAGCCACAAAACTGGTACCAAAGCCTGCATTGAGCAAACCTAGGACAGCACCACGAGGAATGAAAATAAAAAAATGGGCATAAGAATACAAAACATCAACCTCAGTCCTGGAGAAATGGCTCACCAGATGGGATAAAATACATAATAGTAAAAAAGGGAAAGAACCATGAAGTGATTGAGGCAGGACAGATCCATCACAGAACACCAATCTGCATCAAGAATACACAACTAATGGAAGAACTCTTAGATGTAGGACAGGTAAATGATGGAAAGGTGCCAAACATGGAACATGAAAAGAGAATGCAATGGCTAAAGAGACAAATGAGCAACCAAAAACAAAAACATCAAATGTAGCAACACAGATATCCCATGTGATGCTAAAGTCACAGGAGTAGCATCCCCAAAAAAGGATGGACCAATGGAGGAAAAGAGTTGTCCATAATTAGAAGTGGAAGGGAAACGAACTTGATACAAGACACTGTCTCACCACAGAAGATCTTAAAAGCAAAAAAACCCATGTGTGTATTAAAAAAGCCAAAGATGCCAATCATCCCAACCTGGAGTTAAGGAGGAGGACGTCCCACAAAAGTCCCCATGAAATAGGGCTCAGGATGAGTAACAATTAAGAATTTGTAAGAGTCTAGCATTTTGTTTGTTTGTTGTTAAGCACAAAGCTACACAAAGGGCTATCTGTGCTTTGCCCACTGTGAATATTGAAACCAGATTTTTTGAGCTACAAGCCCCTAGACTTATTGCTGGGCTACTGACGGGCAGAATCCTATTTGTTTTCAATTGTAACTTTATTTTTTTCTTTGAATTAGTTCACTGAAATTGGATATATTCTGGTCTGAACAACCTCAAGTTACAGAAGCATAGAAAAACCTTTCAAAAACACCAAAAGTACAAAACTTAATATTGATTAAAATGCATTATTCATGATAATGTAGCTATAACATGTGCTCTGTAAATAAAAAGATAAAAAGAAAAATAGGTTATGATAACTATACTGACAAACACAATCATTGTGAGTTCTATATGAAAAATGCAGTACTATGTTTTTAACTAACAAACCTTTTTTGGCTTCTATTCTATTTAATATAAAGTGGAAGATACAGTGAAGCCCACAGGCCACTAAAGCTATTAGTCCGGCTACTTGAAACGTTAAACCACCTCCTAGATGATCAAAGCCAACTCCTCCTAGTAAGCTACCAACAGCAACACCTAAAACATTCATATTACAAAATATTTGATGACATAATAAATGCAAAAAAATAGTTTTAAGAATTAGCTGCAAATAATAAAACATTGTTATAAACCCCACACAAGTTAATATTTAATTCCTTTACTTTTCACAATAACTGAGTAATGATTTCTGCTATTTGTTAAAAAGAAACTTAAATCCCACTCATTAAACATTATAGAATACTAGTACACATAATTTAAAAATGACTTTAAAGCTTAATATGTTCACTGCCAATTCAAGGAGCCATTGGTATTTTTTTTTTAATTAGGAGCATTTTAATAGTGAAAAATAATATCAGATAGAGTATTTATGGGGATATGTGCTTAATCAACTAAAATCTATACCATGACTCACATGAGTATCATTGGTACTGCACATTTTTTGTAGTGCTGCAGGACAGACATGTGCATCATCTATTTTTTATATCTTGTCTTAATTTTTGGGTATGTTTTTGAATGTACAAGAAAAAAATATATCACATCCTTTAATGATATTTTCTGATATACATCAAATGTAAAATAGCAAATAAAAAGAAAAAATTCTACTCTTTAGTCATTATTTACTGATGAGCTTTTGTGAAACATGGCTCTATACAAAAGGCTGATTTTCTAGGACAATGTGTTTCACAATAACACATTGTGTTTGACTTTCGCCCCTTCAAAACATACTTGACAACGCTTCCGCATAGCCTTTCCATGGTCATTACGTGAGAGTTTTGATGGTTTATGAAATACTTTTTTTTGTTGATTTCTGGTGATGAATACAAGTAGGCCTATCAAAGGATGAAAAATGTATAAGCTTCCACATAACTGAAAGGTGAAACTCATACAAAGTTGTTTTTTACACGAGTATTTTCTGAACAAATAAAAAGCATTGAGCACCATCATCTGAACAATATGAATGTCAAATCTCATGTACCAGTGCATGTCCATGGATAACATGAAATGATTTGATCTATACCAGACATGTATTGTGCAATAGTCTTAGGTTTGCCAGTAACATTTTCTCTCCTTTTTGTAGTCTACCATTTCATCCATAAAATCAGTTAAAATTGGAAGAATTTCCCTTTTATCTTTCCATTTGGTTATTGCCACACCATTAGAATACTGACACTTTTTTCTCCTTGTTTTTAAATTTTGCACAACTTGTGATTGTCTTTGTGATTAAAGCAAAAAGTTCCAGTGCAGTATGTATTTATTTCTAGAAGTTTACATGCCAGGAAATTACTGTTATAAAAATTGTCCATGTAAAGGGCACGACTGTCTTAATAATTCCATGAGATGCAGAACAACATTCCAAGAATACCTCTGTCCTCCTATATGATCCAATATGCCACAGTATACAGGAGTTTTTACAACCAAACCAGAAGGCTCTGTGAGAATGATAAAGTTTTATCTCATATCTGTGTCTTCATAATACTTATCAAGGGAGAGCTCCTTATAAGGATAGTATGTTATCCAATCATGAATTGAAAAGTCAAGTAGTGTCTTTTTGTTGTTGTAAAGTCTGTCAGTAGGTGGGTCATCATCAGATTTGGGATTTCTAGTGAAGTGTAGACATCTCTTTATAAGATGGAAATTATTTGTGCTCATGTTTGATAATAATATATTTGTGTCCACTAGTCCTACTATTCTCATTGTTAAATATAAAAAAAAAGATGATACAGCAACACTATCAATTTCCTTTACAATCTGAAAGACTTCAGCCTCTTGTTGTATGACAACCCTTCCATCCCAGACACCATTCTAGTGACCCTTCTCTAGCCCTTTCCAACAATTCAATGTCCTTCCTAAGGTAAGGAGCCCAAGACTGAACACAATACTTCAAATGTGGCCTAACCAGTGACTTGTACAATGAAAGTATAACCT